CGGGCGCAACTGCCAAAGCAACGCGCGCTTATCAGTATCTGTCCGTCTCTCTTTCTCTCCGTACGCTGCTTGTCCAATATTGGCAGAAGGCAGCGACGCAGCGTCTACGCCGACGGCGCAGCTAGCTTCGGAAATCAACCCCAGCAGTGAGTCGACCAGCATGGCCGGCGCCGCGCCTCACGTCATGGTGCTGCCGTTCCCGGCGCAGGGCCACGTCACGCCGTTCATGGAGCTGTCGCACCGCCTCGTCGACCACGGCTTCCAGGTTACCTTCGTCTGCACCGAGCTCATCCACGCGCTCCTCCTCGACACCGGCACCACCGGCGACGCGCTGTGCGGCATCCGCCTCGTCTCCATACCGGACGGCATGGCCGAAGGTGACGACCGCAGGGACCTCTGCAAGTTCGTGGGCGCCATCACGCGGTACGTGCCGGGCTACGTGGAGGACCTCATCAGGGGGACGGAGGCGTCCGGGGAGAAGGTCAAGTGGCTCCTCGCCGACGTCAACCTAGGGTTCTGCTACCAGGGTGCCAAGAACCTCGGCGTCCGGGTGGCTGCCGTCTGGCCGGCGGCCGCGGCGAGTCTCGGGATTTGGTCCAGCATTCCCAAGATGATAGAGGATGGCTTCATCGATGACAAGGGTACCAAATATCTATCCTTCTACTGCCTAGTTTCCATTGTTTATATTTATATATATCATAAAAGAAAAGTTTCGATTCTTTATTATATACATATCCTCCGTTTCAAAATATTAAAAGTTCTACATTTGTCCCAAGTCAAACTTTAGTAAAATTCCACCAAGTTTGCTAAAAACTTTCCTAATATATAATACATGGAACATATATAGTTTAAAATATATATTATGCTAAATCCAATGAAACTAATTTTCTGTTGTAGAAGTTGGTATTTTTTTCATATATTTGATCGAACTTAAATAAGTTTATTAGTTTAGGACAAATCTAAAACTTCAGGTATTTTAAAATGGAAGGAGTATTAAACCTAAAAAAATATTTTGGGATTTTTTTTCAAACTATTGTAAAAGATCTAAAAAATCATTTGAGAAAGACACTAAAGGGCATCTTAAATCTAATAATTGTCAAAAAAAAGTTGTCAGTTCAACGGAAAGACAACTAGACGCAAAACAATCAGTAAAAAATAAAATTACATTGAAAATCATACTCTTCATCTTCTTTCTTCGATTATACACCGGCCATCGAAAATTCAAAATTGTATTGAACCGACGGTCAAGAAAAGGAACACCTACAAACGGCCTCACCATGCCATGCTTTGAAAACCGAAATAGCCACTCACCGCTTGAAACGAGGTCTTTTTTTCTTTTTTTTTCCTTTTCTTATTTATTTCTCCACCTCTTCCTCTCCTTCTTCTTCTCCTTCTTCTTCTCCTTCTTCCTCTTCTTATTTTCCTTTTACTCTCCTTTTTCTTCTTCTTCCTTCTTCCTGTTTTCTTCCTTTTCATTATTTTACCTTTTCCTCTCTGATCCACTAACCTAGAATCTAGTATCCTAAAATGCACTAACAGTAGAACTAATAACCTAAAATGCACTAAATCAACTAACCTTAAATGTAACTTTTGTAGCACAATTTTTTCTTCTCTCTCTCTCTCTCTCTCTCTCTCTCTCTATATATATATATATATATATATATATATATATATATATATATATATATATATACATACATACATAAATTAACAAAAAAATTCTATGAAAAAAAATCATACATCAATGCATACATATCCATGGATCATACATACATCTGCATATATACATATACATACGACATCCATATATACATACATCAATGAATTGCAAAAAGGTGTATGAAAAAACATTTTTCGTGTTTCTCTTTTTATAAGAATTTCCAGAGATTTGTTACCCTCCTGAACGAGTGAGCTCATTTTACTGTATACTGAGAAACATTTTTCGTGTTTCTCTTTTTATTTGTTATACATTGTGCATGCTTTCTGACGCGTTTCCCTTGCGTATATATCTTCCCAGATTATGATGGCTCACCAAGTATAGTGGTTCCCTAGCGTACACTTCTTAATCTGTAGAAGAAGAAAAATCCGAACGATTTTAACCTGCTAACTGTATGAACCGTTTGGAATACAAAATACGTTATGGCATTTCCAACGTTGACGCTCAAGCCGCGCGCAACCGTGTGGACCGTGTGGTTCGGATTTGTTGTGCGATCCAACGCGAGCTTGTATCGGTCCGCATGGTGGTCCGGACGCACTTTTCCCCGTAAACCAAAGACAAACGTGCGGGCTTTGCGGGCGTCCGGACAACACCCACACCCGCTTCTGACCATCCTAGTCCACACGAAACCCTCCCTCACGCACGCGCGTTCGCGCAGAGCGGCAAGTGCGCGCATTCATGCCAATGTAGAGCGGCCGCTCCACATTTACAACTATGACATTCTCCGTTTTGATTCTCATATTATCAATCCAATATTCATGTTTCAAGATGTGGTCCAGCATTCCCAAGATGATAGAGGATGGCTTCATCGATGACAAGGGTACCAAATATCTATCCTTCTACTGCCTAGTTTCCATTGTTTATATTTATATATCATAAAATAAAAGTTTCGATTATTTATTATATACATATTCCTCCGTTTCAAAATATTAAAAGTTCTACATTTGTGCCAAGTCAAACTTTCGTAAAATTCGACCAAGTTTGGTGAAAACTTTCCAAATATATAATACATGGAACATATATAGTTTAAAATATATATTATGCTAAATCCAATGAAACTAATTTTCTGTTGTAGAAGTTGGTATTTTTTTCATATATTTGGTCGAACTTAAATAGGTTTAGTTTAGGACAAATCTAAAACTTCAGAAATTTTAAAACGGAACGAGTACTTAAAACAAAAAAATATTTTGGCAAAAAAAATTATTTGAAAAAAGACACTAAACGGCATCTTAGGTCTGATAATTGTCAAAAAAAAAAAGTTGTCAGCTCAATGGAAAGACAACTAGACACAAAACAACCAGTAAAAAATAAAATTACATTGATAGTCATACTCTTCATCTTCTTTCTTGGATTATACACCACCCATCAAAAATTCAAAATTGTATTGAACCGATGGTAAAGAAAAGGGACACCTGCAAACGGCCTCATCATACCATGCTTTGAAGACCGAAATAGCTACTCACCGCTTGAAACGAGATCTAAAAACTGTTGAACACACATCGATTGGGGCATCAGACCACACAAACACATGCTTACACTCCTTCTCCACCTGTCAAGAGGGTTCAAGAAACCAGATCATGTTGCTTAACAAATTGAAAGAAGATATCGAAGTCGGCGCACTATGATCCAACCAACAACATTCCTAGATTGCTACACTAGTTGCCAAGATCTAAAGATCCGAAGAGAGCCAGCATATTTGACAACACCATGGTTGGTGTAGGATTAGACGTCGCCGGTGTAGGGAAATGGCGGAGAGATCTCATTCCAATACGTTGTCACCACCAGCACCTCCCCGGTGCTGCTAGAAAACCAAAACCCTTATAAAGATAAGAAAAATGGAAGGGATGGATCCCCATTCCTCTAGCTGTCGACGAGATTGCCTGGGGTGACTATGGTGGAAAAGACCTTCTGAAAACTTGGGTTGGAAGGGTTGGCCATGGTTAGCGGCATGATATTGCATTGCACAAAAGAAGAAATAAAATGTAAAAACAAATAAAACAAAAAATGACAAAAATTTTTTTGCACATGATTGGTATAGAAATTGCATTATTTCCTAACGTGCAAAAATAAGGGTATCGTAGTGCAATTTTAACACATCGGTATGAATCGGACACACATTGCATAAAAATTGAGTGAATATATATCCATGTTATGGGAGCTATTATTTGATAGGTGCTTATTTTTTGGGTGTTCAGTCAAATTTTCTCCACCACACTCCACCACCCGATCTAGATCCAAAGGCACTTTCTTCTTCTTCTTCTTCTTTTTTAGCATTCTTTTTTCCCTTACACTAATACTAAGAAAATAAAACAAAATAAAAAATAAGTTATATAGGGAAGAATGAATTAGTGGCATGGTATTACCCTTTAAGGAAAAATAAAATAACAAACTAAAACAAACAATGACCAAATTTGCACAAAATTTACACGAAATTTGCACTATGTTATAATATTCAATAATAAGCATCTAACGGTCAATGTTTTTGCCAAAGGAAGTTTCCTAAGAAGGAATAAGTTAATGGCACAGGTAGTATGCCAACAAAGTGACTGACCCAAATTGAAAATTCAGGTGACTTGCATATAGCTAAAATCAGAGGAAATTTCACTTTAAATCAGATATTTGTCTTGATATGACATATCAAACTAACCACCAACGATAACAATATAACTCTGCAGCAGAAGTCATATGTGCATCGTCTCTGCAGATTGCATATCAATCAGCTTTGCGATTTTCCCTTGAAGCACACATGATGACAAATAAGTGCATTGCAGGCGTGGCAAAGCAGGAGGGAATATATGAGATCGCCCCCAAGATGCCGACGATCTGCATGTCGCGCCTGCCGTGGTACATCGACGGTCCAACCGAGGGGCAGCAGCTGATCTTCAAGCTCGTGGTCACGGACAACGCCCAAGCGACCAACCTCGCCGAGATCGTCGTGTGCAACTCGTTCCACGACGCCGAGACAACGACGTTTGAAATGTTCCCGGAGATATTGCCCATCGGCCCGCTGTTTGCCGACCAGGAGCTCCGGAAGCCTGTCGGGCAGTTCTAGCCGGAAGACATCAGCTGCTTGGAGTGGCTCGGCTCGCAGTCCGAAGGCTCCGTCGTGTACGTGGCGTTCGGCAGCTTCACCATCTTCGACCCGCGGCAGTTCAGAGAGCTCGCCGAGGGGCTGGAGCTCACCGGCCGGCCGTTCCTGTGGGTGGTGCGCCCGGACTTCACCTCCGACGGCCTCGGCAAGGCATGGTTCGACGAGTTCCAGAGCCGCGTCGCCGGCAAGGGCATGATCGTCAGCTGGTGCCCCCAGCAGCAGGTGCGTACATTACCAAGAAATGTGCGTCTGTCAGCGCTCATTGCAAGCTCCAGGTTCTCATCCATGTCAACATGCAGGTTCTGGCGCATCCCGCGGTGGCGTGCTTCGTGTCGCACTGCGGGTGGAACTCGACGATGGAAGGGGTGAGGAACGGCGTGCCGATCCTGTGCTGGCCCTACTTCGCCGACCAGTTCACGAACCGGAGCTACATCTGCGACATCTGGAGGACCGGCTTGGCCGTGACGCTCGGATATGGAGTCGTGACGAAGGAGGAGGTGAAGAGCAAACTTGAGCAGGTCATCGGCGACGAGGGAATCGCGGAGAGGGTAGGGATGCTCAGGAATGCAGCGCGTAGGAGCATCGGCGAGGGCGGGTCCTCGTATGAGAATTTCCAGAGATTTGTTACCCTCCTAAACGAGTGAGCTAGCTGCATTTCACTCGTTACTGTCTGAGACGGCCGAAGAAACATTTTTCGACTCTTTCTTTTCTCTTTTTTATGTCGTGCACGCTTTCTGGCGTGCTTCCCTTGCGTACTCCCCAGATTATGATTGCTCACCAAACAAAGTATGCACGTGGTTCCTTAGCGTACACATCTTAATCTGTAAGGAAATTTTTGAACGATTTTAACCTGCTAACTGTACGAACAATTTGCAGTACAAAGTAGGTTATGAAGCCCAAAATCAGCATGAAAGGAATGAGGCGGGGTAAGTGTATATGCATATATGTAAGCATCTGAGATTCTACAATCCTCAACAACACCAGCTGTGACGCGGGATGGTACACTCCCAACTAACGAAAATTAGTTTTAATTCTATAACCACATTTAGCAAGATTATGCGCAATCCATTTCTAAGTCTGGGCTCATCTGCATCCAGTGAACAGTAAACTTTAAATTTTTTTAAAAAATCCAAATTATTTTTGTATGGAAGCTTTTTCAGTGGGTGAGGGCCATGCCAACTTTCAGCTTGTTCGGACATCTGAGTAGCTCTCACAAAAAAAGGGTCCAACCAGTAAATTGTTGCATAGACCCTAAATTTCTCTTTTTTGCTGAGAGAGACTCAGATGTTCAAACTAGCTGAAATTTGGCACGGAGCTTACGCACTGAAGCATCTTTCTTTCATGCAACAAACATTTGGATTTTGTTTTGAATTTTTCTAGTATTTATTCTGATTTTACTGTTCATGGTGGGAGTAGATGAGCTGAGGAGCCAAATAGCCGCTCTTCATTAAGCTATAATCTATTCATGGCCTTTTTGGGAAGTCCTAAGGCCATATTTTATGCATCGCAAGTCCAAATCTTTAGGGTTGTCAAAGTCTTCTTCCTCTTGTAACCATCGACAACGCGTCATGAGCAAACCTTGTTGCTGCCTCTAGGCCTTCATCTCGACGGAGCAACTTTGTTTGAAACAAGGAGCTTGTAGAAGCAGTGGTTGAAAAGTCATTGATGTAGACCAGAAGACGTTGGCGACTGTGATGTGCGTAGAAAATTGCCACCCCGGAGAAGAAAACACCCAAAAGAGCCTGCAAGTACTCCAAAGACCACAAGTGTCGGCCGAATCCATACGGATCCACGAGAGATCAAAACCGTCCGTATCCAGGAAGATAAGCCGAAGAAACACCTCTACACGCCCTCCACCGACGCTAAGCGCATTGCTGAAACGAGGAAATGACAGGGAGGATATTATTCCTAAACTGGGGCAACGCTGCCGCCCTAGTCGCCCCGACCAAGACACAACGACTTCCTAAAGTCTGTTACCGCCCATGATCATGTCTCCGCGCCCTCCTATGATGATTAGGCCAGGACGAGTTGCCGCCGAAGGTTACCAAGTCACGGGATCTTAGCGGCTAGCCTAGAACCTGCAGCAACACCGCACAACCGCGTCAAATCTTGAACATCCAATGCGAATGCTGCTTGGTCGTCCACTTGCAGGTCTTGCGCCAGCATGCACAACAGTTGATCCTCCCGTCATACCAGGCCACCCCACAAGGCACGAAACCATGAGAAGACCTCCTACCACCGGCGGCGTTGTGCTGGTTTTGCCTAGCGGCGCACCCTTGCGGTGGCGAGAGCAGTAGGAGGCAAATGGGCTTCCTTGACAGTGTGGGTCCATTTTGAAATACTGGAACAAGTCAAAGACCCCATTCGCCTTCTTGAAATAAAGCAAGTCCGACCTGTCCATAACACCATTAGTAGATAAGTGGTTATGCATGTACAGGCAACCAGTTTCCAAAATAATCGTTTTGTGCATAGGAACTGCATTGTAATACCTGCAACGTAAAGACATAACCACATAAAATCATTTGCCTTAGCCAGGGGCATTTGCTAAATGGCTTGGACATGATAGAAATGGTGTGGAAGGCAAAAGTGAACAACCATTTAATGGAACAGGGGCAAAACTAAAATTGAGTAGGTTGGATCCAGCTAAAGAAAAAGGCCCAAACGAATAGAGTATATAATTTTTGTAGTTATTTAGCGCAAGACCTATACGTTGCCCTCCTAATGTGTCACGCCTCTGGCATCGACACCGCTCGCTACCTGTGGGCCGGCCCGGTAAGGGACATGTTGAGGTGCCTTTTGTATCGTTTTTTCTCTTTTATCTTTTCTTCGGTTTTCTTTGTTTCTTTATCGATTTTCTTCGTTTCTTTATTTGCTTTTCACCATTTTTTCCTTTTCGTTTTCCTTTTTGTAACAGATTTCTAAATTTTTCATACACATTGTATAGTTTTGTATACATTTAACACTTTCAAATACATGACTAACATTTTTTGTAAATATATGTTTTGTTGTCTAGTTTTCTCATATACATTGTACATTTTTCGTATACATCTAAAACATTTTTTATATACATTTAATATTTTTAATACATGATTTAATTTTTTACTACTTGTTTTTGAATATTTTACGAATATGTGTTAAATATTTTTCCAATGCATGTTGAAACAATTTGTTTGTATAATGCGATTTGTTTTCTTGAATTATGTGTTTTTTAACATGGGATATATTGTTTTTTCATTCACAAACATTTTGTTCGAAATGAATGATAAATTTTCTAAATGGAGCCTGCATATTTTTTTGAATGGTAGGGACCATTTTTTTACATTGTATAATATTTTTTAAATGTAACATAAATTTTTTCTAAAACACCTGATTTTTTTGAAATGTTTCTACATTTTTTGAAATGGTAGATTTTTCTTTTCAAAAGTTGAGCAGACACTGCATTTACATTTTTTTAATGTGTGTTGAACACTTTAAAAACAGTGAACCATTTTTTTTCATAATATGCATATTTATAGTTATTTTGAAAATTAGAGGAAATAAACACGCATGACTTCTGCGTGATATGAACTTGAAGAGACCACGTGGTTACTGGGCTTGCAGGCGACGCCACTCTCCGCTGCGCCCGTCATTTAGAAGGAGATGGTCTCTAGTACCACCACCTACTACTTACAACCTGTGTGTTCCACATAACTTATTTTCCCAACCGAAATGGAGCATCGTGCAGCACAGATTGCACCTGCAGGTCAATCTCTGTGGAAGGGGGATAAAAAGATTGTCTTGCTGGCACCTGCAGGTCAATCTCTGTGGCAAGGAGTAGTCGGTCACTAATTGAGGAGTACTTGGTGTAAAGATCACTTCATTTTTCTTGGTTGCGGCAAGTGACGCACATGCAGCGCGCCACTTATTGCAATCAGGAAGTTTTCTCTTTTTTCGTAGATTCGTTTATTCAAACGTTTTATCTCTTAAACAATGGGTTCAAATCTCGAACCCCTTTCACCGTTGGATTCCTCACGTTGAGATCTTCAAAACTAGATCCCATGTTGATAGATTTTGACGAATTTTTTTTCATGAAAAAACCTGGATGAAAAAACCGAGGCGGGATCACGGGTTTTTTTCCTTTCCGAAAGAGGCACGCCCGTGCCTTTCACGAAATCACAACCGTGCCTCTCGCGGAAGAAGAAAAAAAAAGAGAAAACGCGTTTTTATTCATTTCCGAGGAGGCACGGCCGTGACTCTCGTGTAAGCAAAACCGTGACTCTTGTGAAAGAAAAAAAAACAGAAAACATGTTTTTTTCCTTTCCGAGAGGCACGGCCGTGACTCTCATGAAAACACAATCATGCCTCTCGCGGAAGCAAAACCATGACTCTCGTGAAATAAAGAAAAAACAGAAAACACGTTTTTTTTCCTTTTCGAGAGGCACAGTCGTGACTCTCACGAAAGCACAACTATGCTTCTCGCGGAAGCAAAACCGTGACTCTCGCGAAAGAAAAAAAAATAGAAAACGCGTTTTTTTGTTTCTGAGAGGCGCGGCCGTGACTCTCGTGAAAGCACACCCGTGCCTCTCGGAGAAACAAAACCATGACTCTCGCGAAAGAAAAAAAACAGAAAACACATTTTTTTCGTAATTTTTTGGAAAAAGTCCATTTTACTCCCTTGAAGAAAGTGGGTTGTTCGCATAACCCCCTCATCTTTCTTTTGGTTCACTTAACCCCCTAATCTAACCAATACCGTTTGAAAATCGTTGTTAGTGGGTTTCTCAGGTGGTTTGCTGACGTGGACTGGGTCAAAGAGGTTTGTTGACCAGTGGAGGGGAGGGAGGGGGGCGATGCAGGTTTGTCGGGCGTCACCGCCGCTGCTGTTCCCGTGACCCGCCGCCGCCGTTGTTGCCTCTTGACTCTCTCTCTCTCTC